CTCGAATAGTTCCTGTATCAAATGAAGGCCCGCCTTCTGAAATACGAAATGTGCTGTGATTGGTTAGCCAGGCCAGTATGTGTTGTGATTGGCAGCACTCGGCGCCTGGTCGGGAAATGTCATGCCCCTTACCATAGCCGCCTGTGAGCTTCAGTGTAAATATTGCGTCAATATCAAATCAATTTGAGCACGATTTAAACCCGGATGATTGTAACCACTCTAAGTTCGTCTGCCTTGGGAGAGCTAGTGTGTCTCCGACATAGTGATAGCACTTGTTGCCTTCTCTAGTGCAGCTCAACCAGGTCTCGTCCCATTCGTCGATATTTGTGATATCACAAATCCCGGAAAAATATGCGTTGTAGTCCAAACGAGTCGTTCGTTGTGGTTTTTGAAAAGTGATTTCTGTTAAATAAAATATCTCCTTTTGAAGTGGACTTTGGGCTTTGTAACTTTGCAGATCTTTTTTATGCTCAAACAGCAACATTACAGACTAACTAAAGTTGAAAATGTGAAAAAGCATAATAGGACCCCTTTAATAAAGCCAGGGCATCTATTCTGTTCATAAAGCTCATGAGGTTTTCACTGATGAATAAACTATAGCTAATTTGCACTGAAATAAGTTTGGGCTAAATTTTTTCAGTGTGAGTGCAATTCTTCAGCATCTACAGCATTCTACAGTCTTATGGATATTATTAGAAAATTATATCTTCTAGACAAAGTGTATTGTTTGTTACACAATGTATTCTTTTAAGGTACATTCTTCTCTTCATCTCTGTGTTTTCAAACGACATGATATTGTTTTCTAATAAAAAAGTTGCAGTTAACCTAATAATGTAATTTCTACCATTCACCCTTCCTTCATTCCAAACCCTGTATGACTTTCTTTCTTCCCTGGAATATAAAGGGCTATTGAAGACTGTATTGGTCACTCTGTTCCATAGAATTTATAATAAAAGGAAAATCTATTTGAGTCCATTTGCAAGAGCTCTGCTTCATCAGCCCCAGGACACAATTACATCTGTTACAACAAAGACAGAAAATCATCTGATTGGCTGGAAGTTGTAAAAGAATGATGACGAAACATGCATAATTGATTAGATAATAGGATTATTCATAAGAAGTGACTCAAGATTACATATCAACAGATGGACCCTAGAAATTCAGATTTTCAAACCCACAGCCATAATTCATAGTTTAACCTATAGGTGCATATTCAAATAAATATTAATTTCCAATATCTACATGAGCCATGAGCTATATGAGTTCAAACATTGAAACACACAGTATGCTCATCTATTATTATATAGCAGATATGATAAAATCAGTCAGGTTATGGCTGTTTGATATAATTTGCTCAAATATTTAAAGTGATATTAATGTGATGATAAATGCTATAGCGATAGAGTTGTTATTTCTCAGTTATCATAGTAAAATCTTTAAAGCGTAAAATTAGCAGATTAAAAAATCATTGTTGATGTGCTTGCAGATGTTTTGCAGAAACTAGCATTTTCAACAGTCCTGCTGCTGGGGAATATCATACCAACATATCAGATTAAATGAGAATTGTTTGTCATGAGGGGCAGTAGTCCTCATGGGTAGCAGGGCCTCATGTTCATATATCCTGGCAGGGTGTGAAATGAAACACACTATTGAGTTTCTCATAGCTGCTCCACATTAGATGTAGTTGTGACCTTAGGCTCTGGTTACTACTGACCTGCTATGTACAATTTATTTTGCTTGCAATATACCTCTCACAAGCTATTCATCATATAATGAAAAAAAACACTTGGTACAGACTGCCTCCATTCAAAAGGGAGAACATAACAGAAAACAAAGGGAGAAGGTATGTAATATTGTCTTGTAAGGGTCCTGACACCTTTAGCATAAATGAGGCTGATCAAATGACCTGAATGAATGAAAAAAAAAATTGATCAGATGTGCAATCATCAATTTGCACCAACTTTCAGCTATTGTAGACATTATGTATCTTTTGACACAGGTCTTCCTGATAGGCCAAAAAGATGTCACAACCACCGTTAACATGTTGTCCTGAACTTCACATCCAGAGAGGTTAGTTAATCACAAACAGAGGTCAATTATTTGGTTGCCGTGATTTTGCCAAGTAAGACATGCTCCTGGATCAACATCTTTTGTTGATCCTGGATCAACATTACTGTCCAAAAATACAGACTTAACCCAATCCCTACCCCTAAACCTACCTAACCTTACCCATAATTTATTCCTAAAATCAAAGGGAAATGATAGCTGATTAACAAGGTTGTAGTAGCACCTAATCCTGATTGTAAGCCTAAAACTTACATTTCCTGAAAAGTTATCTCTCAATTCTGATTGGTTGATTGGAATGATGTTGATCCGGGAACATGTTGTACTTGGTCAAATCACGCTCACCCAATTATTTAGAGGTTTTATATAGGAAAAAAAATACTGTTTAACTCCAAGGAAAATCGTTGGCCCTGTTTCCACCAAACATATGTGTTGTTGGTGATCTGATCGCTAATTGTCGTTACTGTTTCCTGATGTTAAAATGCCTCTCAGATATGTCTTCTTTTACCACTTGCGTTTGAAGTTTAAGACCTTCTTATTTTGTCATACCTTGTGTCACTTTTGTGGGAGCGCCAAGGGCTGCTCACAAATATGAATAAATAGACAAACTAATTTTATGCAAAAACATATCAATTAGGTTATTTTCAGATTTTTGTATATATTATATTTAAATTTTATATTAAAAGAGGGAAATAGCATTCATATATATTCATTAGTTTGACTTTGTAAATAAAGCAAAACATAATCACTGAGTGATAGGCTAAATCCAAACTTAAGACACAAAATATTCTCACTGTAGCAGGGGTGCTCAATGTTGCTCATTTTAATCAGCATTAATATTATAATTCATTGTAACCAAAAGAACAATTTCATCTTAATTGCCAATGCAATAGCCAAGAGATTGTCTACTTAAAACAATGAAGCATGGTTTACTAGATTAAGATTAATGCATTAGGCTAAACTAAACACCAAGTTGCGGCCTGAAAAAAGGAGTTGGGCTAAAGTTCATAAGAGCCACAGATGGACCACAACAATCTGACACATTTTAAACAAACAAAAGCAGGTTGTTGTCTATTCGGGGATTTTGAGTAGGCTAGGTCAAGCCGTAAATGCATTGTCTACAATTATTGTGGCTCTAATTGGCATTTGAATAGCATTCATTTGTAGCCCTAATTGTTTGCCTATGGATTCCTTTTTAAGTTTGTTGTAGTTATTTTTTGATAAAAGAAAACCCAATAACTACTAGTAGTAGAGGAGACAGAAGGTCTGCTGTAAGATAATTGGAAAGTAAAGGCACATTGATGTAGAAATATCACACCCTGTGCTACACAAAACACATCATTGTGCACCAGTCACAAACCCATCCGCCAACACTTAAGCGTTCTGCTGCCATTTTGCATGTGAACTTTTGAACTTTATTTTTATTTTGTAAATGTGCTAGATTTTCCGTTTGCTTGTGAGTTCATGAACTTTTGTGTTGAGGGAAACCGGTTCAGATATGATGCTTCTTTTGTTAAGAGAGTAATTTGTCTGTCTGGAGTTCAGTCAGTACTGCTTAGTGTGTAATAATTTGATGCTGTTTGTTTAGGAATGCATGTATTTAATTGCTTGTTAGTTCAAATTAACCTGGACTTGAACTTTGCAGACATGATTCATAACAGTTTGCAATTAAAGACTCTCAAATTGTTAATTGCGCCTAAAAAGTTCTATTCTGTTGTTGATACAATGGATGTTATGGTTTGCCTTTTGTTATAGATGAGCTTTTGTTTCATTTAAACTATATTTTGAGTTGTGTGAGAAAGGCATTTAAACTGACATCCACTGTTACAGAAAGCCAGATGTAAGCATCATTTATAAAAGTGTCATAGTATTTTTCTTTTTTTATAGTTCCTGTTTTTCAGTGAATGGACAGACCAATGTTTTCAATACTTTCCTTTGTTTTCCACACAAAATGTGACCTTTTTATGCTGTTCTATGTTTTTGTTTCAAGCTGTATTTCAACTCCATGTCTGTTTTTTATTACTGCAAAACAAGCCAATTACCTGCCATTGATGTACAATAAGATTGTTCATCTTAATTAACAACATTAATATTGATGACGAGAAAGTTTGTTGTTTGTGCTCTCTGTGCTGAGAGAGAATGTTGGCACTATCCCGTCAGCGGAAGGTGATTGATGCTTTCAGACATGAACATCCTCTAGGGACGTCAGAGGCCTCTC